AAAACAAATAAATAAATAAAATAAATAAATTGATGATGAATCTGCAAAATTTTCCATGATATGGAAAATTTGTTGCTTTGTTAAAAAAATATCCTTTGCAATTTTCTTTTGTCAAAAAAAAGAAGGAAAGAAAATGAATTTTTGGAAAAGAAAAAATTTATTTAAAAAAGTATTTCATAAATTAAGCTCTAATTAATAATTAAAATCTTTGCAATAAACTTTTCCATTGGCAATTACAGATTAATCCATTTTCTTAAAAATGCTCAAATTCTAACAATGAATAATTAATTTTGTCATTTTCAAATTGCATTTAGATGTGTTAAAATCGTCTATTAAATTTTCTAATTAAATTTGATTAATTTTCCAAACTATTACCATTTAAGTGATTTTGAACTTCATTTGTCCTTAATAATGCGAGAAATTTTAACTTTTTCATCACTAAAATTTTATATTCATGCATATTATTCTTTCATTAAAATTCAACAATTTTCATCGATAAAAGAATAATTTACTTTTATTAACAAAACTATTTAGAAAAATATATTACCAAAAAAAAAAATTTTTTTGAAAATGAGAAATTTGGTTATTAAATTGCTTATGATAAAATATAATTATCAAATCTATTAGAAAGAAGTATAAAAGTCTCGTTTTTTTTCCTAACAAATTATTATAAAATATGCAAAATTTAACTTCTCAAAATTTCGTTGAGATAAGTAAATTACAATAAGTTAAGTTATTTAATTGAGATAAGTAAAGTTTTGGTTGTGAAAATTTATTTTGATGCATAAATAGTAATTGTTACCGAAATATTTCTCTTCCCAAATACCCGAAAATTTTTTATGTCTAATATTTTTTTGGAAAATTACTAACAACAAATATTTCTTTTTTCTTTTTTGATGGAAAATATTTTAATTTGCTTTTTATTGTAATTACTACTCTTGCATGTAGTTAATATGATAATGAAAATTAATTAGGCTTAATCATTAAGTATAATATCATAGCATTACGTAAATTTGATTAAATGATTGAATATTTCAAGTATTAATTTTAATTTTGAAACCGAAAATTGAAATTATTCATCCCTATTGATCCATTATTCGACTGAATAATCAATTTATTTCAAATGTTCAATTTCGGATTAAATTTCCATCATTAATTTTTACCAAATGTTAAGTTCATTTCGAGTACTAGTTACAATTCCGGTTATATTCATCTTCATTAATTCAATTATTTGACTTCTATTTCAAGTGTGAATTTCAATTCCGGATTATGTATATCCACATCATTCAATAACTTTGCTAAATAACAAATTCGTTTTAAGCATTAATTTTAATTTAAAATCACAATTACATTTATAACAAAAAAAAAAAAAAAAATTTAGAAAAAAAAAACTTTTCCCATTGCATCAAATTTACATAAATGAAAACAATTTCTTTTAATTTCAATTCATTTATATGAATAAGCTTATGTATATGTTAGCATTCATTTATGTATGATAAAACATTAATTAATATTGATAATATTTAAAAGGAAATGAAAAAGAGTACGAAGAGAAAGAGAAAAGGAGAAAAAAAAAGGATAAGTAAAATTTGGTAGGATAAAGAAAAAAAGGATGAATGAGATTAATAAATAATCCATTATGTTTCCATTCGATCATTTTCTTTTCTAAAAATTTTTGATAAAAAGTATTCATTCATAAAATGACAATGCTATCATTTATGTTAAGCCAAAAGAATATTTTCGTCATTTTTCACTCAACAAATTCATCCTTTCCTTTCTCATTCCTCTATTTTCTTTTTATCATTTTATCATTTTCTTCACTCATTCCTATCTTTTTTTTGTTATCATTTTATCATTTCATTCTTTCCTCCAATCATTCCTATCTTTTTTTTGTTATCACTTTATCATTTCATCCTTTTCTTCACTCATTCTCATGTTTTTCATGTTGTTATTTTATCATTTTATCCTTTTCCTCACTCATTTCTATCTTTTTCTTGTTATCACTCTATCATTTCATCCTTTTCATCTTTTTTTTTTGTTATCACTTTATCAATTCATCCTTTTTTTCACTCCTATATTTTCTTGTTATCATTTTATTATATCATTCATATCATATAATAAACTTAGCTTACATTTTTATTTTCTTTTAAGCTTACTTTAATATATATTCATGTATTTTCAATATTTATCACATCAGTCTGTCTTTTTCCTTTTCTCTCTTTTTCTTTTTTTCTATTAAGGAAATGAAATGATTTATCTATAATGATACTTACAAACATATAAAATTCATCTTATAATATTGTTAAAATTAGGAAGAGGACGAAAGGACGAATAATATCAGGTTAATTATTATCAATTGTACATGCAACGTTAAATGCATATGTAAAATTTATTTTCTAATAATTCTTGTTAAAATTAAGAAAAGGACGAAAGGACGAATAATACATTAAGTTATTTATTATCATTTCGTATTCATTCCAATGGTTCGAATTGAAATGAACCCGTTAGATGACGGGGAAAATATTCGACATTTAAAATGTGTCCTTGTTGGTGACGCTGCCGTCGGGAAAACATCACTAATTGTTTCATATACCACAAATGGTTATCCAAAACAATATATTCCAACAGCATTTGATAATTATTCTGGTTTGTTTTCCTATCCTTTCATTAAATTTTTAAATTTAATTTTAATCTTTTATATTATCAAATTTTATTTTTTAATTTTTTTGTTTTTTTTTTAATTTTTTTTTTAATTTTTTTGTTTTTTGCATAACATTTTGACATTAGCCATTTCTCTCTTTTTTTTTTCAAAATTTAAATTGTAATTATATGCTATCATCCCAAAATTGTTCTCTTCCTCTTCCCAAATTCTTATTCTTTTTCTCAAATGTAATAAAAGGGACAATAGAATTGTCACCGATTATGACGTAAATTTTGTTTATCAAAATTGTTGTTAAATAATACTTATTTTTAATCTTTTATGATTGCTATTTTAGCTATCTTTAGGATTACACAGAACAAAATCTCGGTATTAACTTCTTTTGAAATTTCAATTGCATGTTATATTCTAAAATCAATTTTTTTTT